AGACGTTTTCGTTTCAATCCTCGCACTGTCTATCCTAAAAAGGGCGATCTGTCAGAACTAACGCCACTGGTCTTGACTACGGAGGCCCTTGTGACATAAAAATGCACGCTAAAATTAAGTGCTAAAAGTGAGAGCTAAAATTGAGAAAGCTTACTTTTGTTTATTCGTATGTTTTGCCAAAAAGTTCATATTGAGATTACATATGTAACTACATAAACGTTGTTGCACGAAGAGGAACCCCATCTAATCAGTACATGGAATGCAACAAACTTTGTAGGAACTTCAAATCAGTTAAAATGAGTAATCAGGGATCTTATGTAAAAACGGGCTTACCCCAACTCCGCGCGGTGGTCAGAAATCTGTCAAAACCGACTGCCCAACTCCGCGCAGTGGTCACTTCGGGTCCCTCGCGGCACATGCCCAACTCCGCGCAGTGGTCAATTTTGGCTCTCACAGCCCTGACGTATGAGAGTTTGTGCTCTAAGTTTGAAATTATGATATATTTTCATCATTTATAAGAAAGGAAAAGTAAAAAGTATATGCCTACCCAAAACAGGAGACGAAGCTTAAAAACCACTAATATAAGAAGTTTTAAAAAGCCCGTGAGAAAGAGTGACTGTAAATTTATATGTTCCAAAGTCTACAATACTCAATCATTCTTTTTAGCACTGGGTTTATGAGCTTGCTGATAAACTTGAGTACCAAATTCAAAAATGTTAGTCTTGTAAACAACCACAGATTGCTTCAACAAATTGGCTGTAATCTCTGTTTCATAAAACAGTTAGCTATACACCTCAAATTGGGGGGAAAATTGGCTGAAATTGGTTTACGAGCATATTTCTTTTACATCTTATTAAAATTGGCGAATTTTACGTCTATGAAGAGGGTTTTCATTGAATCTAGACCCAGACCAAGGTTTTAGCGAATTTCCCATGTATAGGGAATAAGCTATTACCGTAGGTCTCATGGTAAGACCTGGACTCACTGATTAAATTTTTCGTTTTTATTTCCCAAAGGCCGAAAACACCATCCGTTCAAATTCATATATATATATACCGGTATATATATTTTATGTGTATATATGTAAGTCTGTTAGCACGATAACTCGAGCAAAATGATCTGATTTTGATTAAATTTGGCGTGAATGTGTAAACCGTTTATTCGAACGAGTTCACAAACCAGCACGATTGAACCATGTGAACTGGGGCTTATGTATATATTATGAAAGTATAACGTTTTTAAATTTCTTTTGAAACCACTTCGTAAAGCTTAAAAACAAATAATTCAGTATATCGAAGCGTAAAAGCGCCAGAATAGTTACAGAAAAAATGCCAAAGAATTCTTATTTTTAAATTCTTATGTTATTCTTATGGAGAATGAGTAAATTAAACTGTTGTAAAATCCTGTAAAAGGAACATATTTTGATTAAATTGTCAAATGAATTCATTTTACACTTAACTATTGACATTTCACACTTTTTACCCTGTCTCAAACACTTTTTGATGGGTCTGTAATTGACGGGTAACCTTAATATTACAAGTGACCACCGCGCGGAGTTGGAATTGGCCCTAAAAGTGACCACCGCGCGGAGTTGGGCTGAACCCTTCGGGGGCCATAAAACTTTTCCTCGGATTAAATTTGACCACTGCGCGGAGTTGGGCAATCCCCGTAAAAACAAGATCTCAAAATAGTGCTAGATAAAGATAAGTAAACACCAACCAGTTATTGTCAACCTACTTTCAACTGCGTATGACGGATGTATTTTTTTCGGCCGCTATCTTGGATCGGCCATTTTGAAATGTGATAAATTATTTTAAAAATGAAGGTGGTGTTGTGACCCATCATTTCTAATTACTTTTTTATGCTGAACTCAATGCCGAAATCCGTTTTTCATGTACATATATTTTTGAAATATTGACTATAAAATAATTGTAAGATTTCATTAAGAAAGCTTGGTGAAAAAAAAACGGATTGCGGAATGAAGTTCAGAATAAAAAAGTAATTCAAAATTATGGGTCACAACACCACCTTCATATTAAAAATAATTTATCACATTTCAAAATGGCGGATCCAAGATGGCGGCTGAAAAAATACATCCGTCATAACCAAGTGAAAATAGGTCGACAATGACTTGTGATGTATACTGAACTGATCTTTACCTAGCACCATTTTGAGATTATGGTCTTAGTTTGTAAATGCACAATGTTAAAATGAGCTAAAAATAAAGTTATAAAAAGTTCTCATAACTTTAGAAAGGATCAAGATTTTTGCAGCATCATATTCGGCGTAAAAATCTAGTTTGAAACAATAGGTCACAACCCTACCTTTACATTTGAAAAAAAAACTTTGTATCCAATATGGCGGATCCAAGATGGTAGCCAAAACTTTATACCCAGTCAAAATGAATTACTTACGACTCTACAATGATCTGACGTGGTCTGGAGTTGATATCTTAAGAAATGTTGAAAAAAGTAGGGTGGGGGGGGCTCATTTAAAACTCACCCTGTATGTAGTGATAATTTAAACAAAACTGTCGTGCAGCCGATGATAAAGATTATCTTAACAACATTCGTTTAGCCAAATTAAAGACACAATATAATTATCACAGAAAAGGCGTATAAAATCCCCCTTTCATAGAACCTGATCGTATCACACATTTAGGCACGGTATCTACTGGCGACTTTAGCCTCACGATTATTTAGTCGTATATTTAAAAAGCGATTTGTCCATTTAGAGTGAATCCACAGTAGTCTGAAAAATGTATGCGACAAAAAAGTTGCAAATGATTCTATTTTGGCTGCGACACGACTATCGGACTTCTGAAATGCGTCACACCACAGATAATATAATACTGTAATAGTCACACGGTCAGATATGGACATGCCTCCACTGCCGATAGTTCAGTCGTTTAGTCGCAGTTCTGACCCTGTACTATCCAATTCGCGCATAAAATGTCTGACAACGAGTCAAATGTTGATGGAATCATTGACAAGTGATACATTGCCTACTATTGTCAATAGTTCATCAAAAGGGCATTTACTCATGCGGTAGTATTGGAAAAACTTCACAGGGTGTTCACACAGGTCTTCAAATAGCTTGTAAAATTGTTCTTTTAACAACCTCGGACTAGTTATGTACCCAATAACGATGCTTATGACGTTTTTTTCGCGCTCTGAGCACTAAGGCAATCACACAACATGTCTACATGTCAGCCATTGGTTATATGGAGAAATATTACTTCTAAAGATTTATCGATCGCAGTGGAGTCACCTCAGAGACATGAATTGTTTAGAGGGATGCATTGTTTGCATGAGAGGTAAAAATGAGAATAATCTCTTAGTCTGTTGAGGTAATTCTCATGTAACTCGAGGAAAATATCTCCAGGAATTTACTTTACTCAAATACACTTACTTAAAATTACAAATTGTGGCTTAAAACTGGAAAGCTCTATTTTTAGATGGAGATTAGGGGCGGAATTCATGAACGTTCCTTAACCTATTCCTTGTTCCTTATTCCTTACCTTTCTCCTTACTGGTATTCAGGAACGTTCCTACTTCCGTTCCTTATTCAAGGCCTCCTTGATTGAAGGAATTCCTTAAGTATTGTTGCTTGTTCAAATTCACAAACGCTCCTAACTCCTTTAACGAATAAATTTTCCTTAATTGATGATTCCTTACTCCTTAGAATAATAAGGAAGGTATGAACGTCCCTATAACCTTACAAAGCTGTGATTTGTAGGTTATGTTTGTTTATTTTGATTAAACAGCATTGACACTTTTCCCGTTGACCGGCGTATTTTGAGTAGATCGGTTAGTTAAATTATTTGTTGATACTTGTGTTATTTTATTTATTTATTTATTATACAAATTATTTATATTCTTTATACACACGTCGATTCTACAATGGATGAAAATATTTTAGAAGATGATTTTATTGAATTCATGGACCACATTGACGATGACCTTTTTGAAAATCGGGCACATAGGCCAAACGATCACATCCCTACGAATCCTTTTGAAGTGTATGATGACAATGAATTTATAAATAGGTTTAGATTTACAAAACAGGTCGTTAGGGAGAAAATTATTCCCCTAATTTATGGAAATAGGCAGAACGCTACAAACAGGGGATTGCCTATTTCTCCAGAAATAAAAGTCGCCACTGCATTAAGATTTTATGCCACTGGTAGCTATCAGGTAAGCCATTATAAGTTTATTAGCCTACATTTTAACAATTTTATCATAACTAGGCTTGAATGTTAAATTTGAGGTAAATGAGTTTATGCTAGGTTTACTAATTTAAGTTTTAATTCACTGGTTTTTAATAGGCCTAATAGTTTTGGAATTATATAGTTATCTAAAGAAATTTATCTAGTTACTTAGACTAACTTAAAGCATCCTAGCCCTACCTATTTACCGGTACCATATATGTAATGCTCTCAAAGGTCTATTAGGTCTACATTTATGCATTTTAATATTATTATAGCCTATATTAAGCTAATCGTGTCATTTAAATGCATGACAATAAAATGTGAGCTACACAAATTAACTAATGATACTAAATCTATGTTAGACTATTCAATACATTCAGTATGCTAAGTCACGTCAATATTGACGTTAAAAATGATAAAATATCTTTTTTTAAATGGCAAAAACAAAATAGTCCATGCATAGGTAGGAATTCATGTTGAAGAATACCATTCTCATTGTGTAACATGCTACAAGTATTATGTAGGCTAGCATACATGTTACTTGAATTCTATTATAGCAGATAGGCGTGTATATATCAATGCTTTCTTTAACTCATGCCTATATTTTATGTAACCAACAGCCAGCCACAACCTGGAATTTTTGCCATTTTTTCATAGCGTGAAAAAGGACATTTAGCATATAGCCTTCTTAAGCGTAAAAATAAATATATCAAAGTAATGTAACTTATGTAGTAACATAAGTTATTAATATGATAAAATATTTCACACCTTTAAAGATTGTCATATGTAAACATTTTTCCAGACTGTTTGCGGAGATCTTGTTAACATAAGCCAGCCAACTGTTAGTAGAATAGTTCAAGAGGTGTCAGAACTTTTGGCTAGAAATATCCCCAGACTGGTGCATTTCCCAAGAAATGAGGCTCAGAAAAATCTGGTCAAAGCTGATTTTTTAGGAATAGCTGGATTTCCAAATGTACTGGGTTGTGTTGATGGAACTCAGATTCCAATTATAAGTCCAGGTGGCCAGAATGCAGAGGTATATAGAAATAGAAAAGGATTCATGTCCATCAATGTGCAACTCGTCGCTGGCCCGCAGCTGCAGATCTTTGATGCAGTGATTCGCTGGCCTGGGTCAACACATGACTCGAGGATATTCAGCAACAGCAGCCTTAGGTATAGCATTTTAATTACCGGTATTCACAATATTAATAGCATTTTTTTTACGGTTACCAACAAACTGTCAGATAAGATTAATAGTTTTTACTTTTTATGCGTTATGTAAGTCATAAGTAAGTATTTAAAATAAGTAACCCGCTTCTAAATCAAAGCTTAAGTAGAAAGTTTTGTAGTATCTCAGTAAGAGTACCTATCTCAAAAGTAAGAGATTCCGACATATTGTACAACTCCTACCTCTCCTATAATTTTGTGAATCCTTTTCCTCCCTGTTTTAACAATAGATCAATTAGTGGTCGTAGGCATAATACCCCCTTAACCGCTATATACAAAAATAATAATATGGAGGATATTTATGAATATTTGTTAGTAATCTGGAAACGATTATTTTGTATTAATCTGCAGGTTTCTTTGTGCCCTTTTGATTCAATTAAGCTAATAAAACAGAAGAAATCACAGACTGTCAGTTTTGTTTAATTATATTTGTATTGTACTGAAATTTACACACTAATCAAGAAAATTAATATCCTGCTTCTTCATTTAGGTGGCGTTTTGAAAATCCCCGGGGCGACCTGAAGAACTCCTTTCTTCTAGGGGACAGTGGTTATGCCCAAACAAAATACATGTACACTCCTGTTTTGGACCCTCAAACTGCTGCTGAACAAAGATACAACAGGTCAATAGATCCACAATTTTACTTTTTAATGTCAAGTACTTTTTACACTCATTATTGATGATTGTAAAGTAAAAATATGCCACTTAGAACATACTTGTTGTCTGGAGGCCACTATATTAAAAACTTTTACTATAATAAACCAAACTACTAAACATGATGAAATATTATACTTTTTACTACCAAATCTACTGATGTGAAAGTAGTTATGTTGGATTAAACTAGTAGATAAAATGTGTGGCTTTTGCTAAACTGGTAAGTACCAAGATTGTTGTATATAATGCTAGCTTTAAGTTATCTTTTTTTGTTAATCCAATCCTACATTGTAATTATCTAAAGAATAAATTGATTTGATTTCAGGGCTCAAATTTCTACTAGAAATACAGTAGAAAGAACCATTGGGGTACTTAAGAGGCGCTTTCCATGTATGTTATACGAGTTGAGGAACAAGCTTGAGACAACAACAAGAATCATAGCTGCCTGCATTGTGCTCCACAACATTGGGAGGCAGTGGGACCCAAGGGATTTTGGGAACGAAGATGTACAACTGATTCCCAACAACTGGCAAAATTTTGTTGTTGATGTCGAAGAAAGAGTTCGGGATAATGAGAGAGGCCGTTTAATTAAAGAGCTGTTCATCCACCGCCATTTCTCAAACAGGCGCAATGAGGAGTAATAGACATTGACTCCAGAACAGTCCTTTTTGTCAACATTTTGTAAAATACATGATTTTGTTATCATCCTTTAATTAATATACTATTTATTACCTTATATGTTTATCTGTATTTCCTCGGTAAACAATTTAATTGAAATTATCAATTATCTGGTGATCAATCACCATATATGATTGCCATATCAGTTATTGTAAGTAAATGATCAAACTAAACCCTTAAAGGAAAAGTTGTAAAGCTGTAAAAGTGGTCATTTTATAAAAAAATGTCTTTTGTATAGTAATCTCTTACGTTTGATTCTTCCAGGTTTAAAGTTGTCCATAATGGTTCAAAGTTTACCATATCCTTGAATTATAATAATATTATAATATAGAATACAATTGTATTATGGATCTGTTCATGTGTTATGTCTTAACAACCACCATTGAAATATATGGTTTCATTGAACCAATTAAGTTAGGAAACTACATGCAGTTTTTAATGAGGTTTAACAAACATCCAAAAAATAACAGTTTATTATTTTATAATAAAAAATAGTATTGTATTTACAAATATTAAAGTACTAAATTCAGAACTTTTTCAGATAAAGAAAAGTTGTTTTTGGTACATCAAATAAATAAGTACAGCAGGGTGATTGAGTCGAAAGAAACTAATGGGCCAAAAAGTTAAGAGAAACGGATAACTAGCCAAGCTATTACAAACATGAGACAACTACTGTACCATGAGGAAAAAGGCATTTAAAAATACTAATAGTATCTCAAATAACTGGGGATTACAAGTTCAATGTTCACATGCACATTTTAATTTAATTTTTAAAATTTCCTCTTCATATTGTTTTTTCCTT